ACCTGACAAATAAACCGGAGGCCGACAAGCATGGGAGTGGTACCAGGAAATTTTGGAAAATGCTAAATCTGTCAATTTTGACACCGGTATCGCGTCAATGGATGAAGGAGCAATCAACTTATCGCAGCGCAGGATTTCATCAGAGTACAGGTTATCACTTTTTCAAAATTTTCATGATAATTATGATTTTACGCCTTTCTCGTCACGTATTCGGTCTTTTTCCTCGTCTTCTGACGCGTTTTCGGACAGTGATGTAGAAGCTAGTGCTGAGAGAGAGAGAGAGAGAGAGAGAGAGAGAGAGGGGGAGAGAGAGAGAGAGAGAGAGAGAGAGAGAGAGAGAGAGAGAGAGAGAGAGAGACACGCCCCCCAATTCACACCACTTGGATGCTGGCGATAGCAGTTTAATGTCAAATGGAGAGCCAACGTCACCAGAGAGCGCACAATCTTCAACATTATCTACCCCGTCAAAAGAATCTAAAACTAGAAAATCCACCCATGCAAAAAACTTATACTCACTAAGAAACAGAGCATTGCAGCACGAGGCGAGCAAAATTGATGTATTGCGAAGCATTGAAAATAAATATGACCGAGCATTGCAGCAGGGGGCGCGCAAAATAGATGTACTGCAAAGCATTGAAACAGCACTTACACATAAAAATGAATTATTGCAACGGAAAAACCAAATATTGGAAAGACGAAATGAGCTATTGGAAAGCTTAATTAAGAGAAAAGGATAATACCACGCAGTACAAGTCTTCCTAATTAAAAAAATTATCCCCTATATCTTAAGGAATAAAAAATGATTTATTTGATTTTAAAACAAAACTACAAAATTTATTATAATATATAAATAAAAATACTCGCAGTTTATAAGTTATTCATTATCTGTTCCCTTTTCATCCGCGCATTTCCATCAACTGCTTCATTTTTATTGACATTGGTATCATTATAGTCTCCACCATTTTCATCATTAACGTCATCATTCATGAAGTAGTCCTCCCTTATATCAACTTCATCGTGTATTAAAAGGAAATTGTGGAGAGTACAGGCCGCTGCAATGATGTAATTTGCCATTCTTACACTTTTAACATCGAGATATTTCAATCTCCGCCATTTGCACTTCAGTAATCCAAATGCACGCTCAATAATCGACCGTATAGATGAAAGTTTGGTGTTTACGTAGACTGTTCTGGCGTGAGATGTCCGTTGTCTCGAAAAGGTACCATCAGATTTTGAAGCAATGGATACGCTGAATCGCCTATAATGTGCTTTTGTGGTGGTAGAATTGGATTTTCTTGATCCATCAGTCTGTTAAAAATGGGGCTACTGCGAAATACAGCTGCATCATGTGCTCATCCTGACCGACCAATTAGACAATCTATAAATTTACCCGTATGATCGCATATGCCTGCAATAACATGTAATAACCTATGAATGTAATCGTTCGATTTTCAAAACAAAAACAGTTTATTATGCATTTCTATCATATCTTGACAATTTTATCGCACATGACGATTTGATATCTAATAATATGTAAGTATTAAATAATATGAAAGTAAATATATCATTATGAGAAATTGATAGTCAACGAACCTTGAAAATTAATTGAATGAAATCCCTTACGATTATAATAATCGTTTGTATTTCCAGGCGGTTGTTTGATGGGAATGTGACATCCATCAATGGCCCCCACAACATCCGGAAATCCTCGCGATCGCATGCGGAAAATCTGGAACAAACAAAACAGAATTTACAACATTCTTGATATATGGTATAAAATAAAAAGATTCTATGAGAGAGAATTACCCTTTCATTAGTTTCACACTCTTCGGCACTTGGCCATTTTACAAATTGTGGC